AAAATATTTTAAAAATTTAAGAAGTAAAAAATTAGTGATAAATAAGCATTTGTTAAGCTCAGGGTCACACAGCTAATAAGTGTCCAAGGCCATATCTGAACTCAGGTCTTGCTGACTCCAGGTCAGGAACTCTGTCTGTGCCACCTAGATGCCTCAGATCTGGGAAGGCCCTTAGGCGGTCCACTTCCATTTTACCTACCCAAAGTCTTTTTCCATTTTACTTGTAAGATTTCTGAGATCAGATGATAAAAGAATAGCAAATTTGGGCCCGGAGTCCAGTTCTTTTTCTCAACCTAGTGCTCTAATGGCTGGGGAACAGACTTAAATTGCTATTGGAATAAGAAGTTCAATAAGTCACTCATGGATTACCCACAGTAACCTTGTGTCATAGAAGGAATTTGTGCGGCAAAGAGCAAAATCATTATTACTCCCATTTTACAGATGAGGAAATTTAATTGGCTTGGCAAGGTTAAGTGACTTGCTTGTAAGTCACATAGCAAGTAAGTACCAAGGTTGGGACTGTTGGTTAGGGACTTTGAGTTTTTAAAATATTAAAAAGAAAAAAAAACCAGTGCCACCTGTTAGTGTAGACTTCTCTTCCTTAAAGGTCACCTGTTTTTACAAAAGAAGAAATGCTCAGAATGACTTGGCCCAAAGTTACAAAGAATCAGGATTCAAACTGTGGTCCTAATGATCTTTCTCATTTCCCCAACTTAGACTTTATCTTGCAGCCATTCTGATCTGTGGAGAGGTTGTCTTGTGCTTCTGGTAATGATGAGAAAGGTGAGGGTCCCAAGAGACCTCTCTGGTGTTTGTCAGCTGTAGTTGCCCTGAATGCCCTCCCCCATTCAGTGTGTGGAATATGAGATCTGATAATTCTACACTGACTGAAGTTGGTCTCCCTCCCCCTTCTTCCTTCTTCTTCACCCTGACTGTGGCGCCCTCCCATTGAGCATGGGGTGGGAACTGGGAGGATGTTTACATTCCTCAAACTGACTATCTAATCAGGGCTTTTCCAGGCTTGGCATTTTTTAAATAACTGGAGTTGGGGAAATGGTAGAGGGCCTCCCATTCCTCCTTCACCTTTTCTTTCTTCCACATTTGTCTTGTCCAAATGGTCACCTACAGTTGGGCCCCTACTCTTGATTCTCTTAGCTGTCACTTCTGAGTGGACCTTTATGGAGAATTCTTTCTCCACTGCTGGCACTGGGACTTCTTCGATGAAATCACCTCAGAGCTTGCCACTTTCTAAGGGAGAAAGACTGAACAGAAAGTTTCCTGAGTTGACAACCTGGCACCTTTTCCCTCTACTGAGGTTAGACAAGTGTTGAGGAGCGTTTGGGTGTGGGTAAACTTTTGGCATTCGGTGAAGTGTCCACCGTGCCAGGCGCTAAGGTGCAGAAATGTAAAACGTATCTACCTAAATGCAACAGGAAAAACTAAACGTTGGTGTTTTGTTTTAAAATCTCTTTTTTTAACCACTTTTGTATTTTGTTGTAACTGAGTTTGTTTCCTTTACATCAAATAGAAGAGGGAATATTGCACATGAATGTTGTAAAAGTGCTACATATTACTTTCACTGGAAACTAATTTTCTACGTTAGATATGACTGGGTAGAATAGAGTGATGCAGTATTATAAGACATGATACCATGCACAGCTGCAGAGTGATACAAACACCATTTATAATAAGAGAGAGGAGTGTGTGAGGTGCCTCTCAGCCCAGCTCAAGACTTTCTTCCTGAGGTCAGCAATAGAGACAGCAGCATACAAGGGACATCTCGCCACAGCCTCCCTCAGAGGTGTTGCTACCGCCTTACAGGCAGCCCAGTCTTGAATGCATATATCCCCAGTACCTCTCATCATCTGGAAAGCCAAACTGCTTTAATACAGTTGTTTTAAAATCTTGTGTTATTCACCGGACCCCAGTATTCTTGTGTATTCATTCCTAGGATTTAGAGCTGGAAGGGACTTTGGAGATCATTGAGGAGGGGCAGGGGAGAAGAGGGATTAGCCCACCCCCTTTGGAGGCTCACCATATAAAAGCCCAACAGTGCAGATACCCAGTTGGCTTAGGCCACTGCAACTGAGAATTTCCACAGTGCCAGAGATTTACTGCCTTCAGCTTCCCAGGTAGCAGGGATTACAGGCCTGGCTGGGACTGCTCTTTGAATCTACTTCAAAGGGATGGTTTTAAGACAAATACAGAGCTTTTTTTTTTTTGTTAAACATTGTGAGCTGTAGATTTGTATAATTCATTACTCCTAGAGTATAAATGGAAATATTAGAGAATGAGTGGAAATACAGACTGCAGAATGTAATTCCCTTGAGGGTAGGGACTATCGCTTAATAAGTGTTTATTGCATGAATGACAAAAGTAATCTTTGGAATGCTTGTGGATTGATCCCTTCATTTTTCTGATAAAGCCTTGAGGGGAGGAAAAATGACTTCTTGGACTCTGAGCTCCTTGAGAACTGAGATCTGTCTTTTGCTTTTCTTTATATCCTCAGTGCACATAGGGAGCTTAATAAATGTTTCTTGCCTGGTACATAGTACGAACTCATTAAATGTTTGTTGCTGCCACATAGTAGGAGCTTAATAAATGCTTGTTGACTTGCCCTATATTGACCTTTCTCCTAGCCAGTGTAGGGAGTGGTAGGGTATAGGGGTGGGGATTTTGTGGCCCTCTAGGTCCTCAAGTACAGCCCTTTGACTGAATCCAAACTTCACAGAACAAATCCTTAGTAAAAGGATTTGTTCTGTAAAACAAATTTTGACTCAGTCAAAAGGCCTCACCAGAGGACCTAGAAGGCCACATGTGGCCTCAAGCCTGCAGGTTCCCCCACCCCTGATAGAATTTAGATCTGGAAGGGACCTTAGAGAGATCAAAAAAGCCCAACCTCATTTTTATAAATTAGGATACTGAGGTCCCAGAAAAAAGGAAGTGTGTTTTCCAAAGTCTCACAGGTAAGAAGCAGTCCATTCAGAACTTGAATCCAAGTCCTTTGTTTCCAAATCTAGTACAAATATTCTTTCATGACCCATAAACCCTCACCACCTGAGTCTTATCTTTTAAATTCATCATTATCAAAAAGCTATAAGCACTGGAGAGACAGACAATAAATGTAGTCTCCTGTTCTCAGGACACCTAATCAAAGACTCCTCAGCTATACTCCTTTCTAGCCATATCCACTTTTGTACCATACTAGAGCAGGTAACTCGGTGATGTCTGTGCCAGGAAAGAAAGGGTATGGGACTTGGAGGGTGGAGTAGAGGGTGCCTGTTTCTCACTTATCTGATTTTTCATTTCCCAGAAACCTAATTACTTAAAAAAAAATTCCAGCTCTAGCCCTACTTCTTCATGGAGCTCAATGTGGGACTTTTAAAAGGTATGCTGGCTGTGTGGGGAAGCAGAGAGCCCAGGTAGAGACAGACAAATTGGACAAACTCACTGCCTGCATCTTCCTCTCTCTCCATAGCTAGAAAGTTGCCACCAGGTCTGATCATGTCGATTCCACGCACAAGAAGTGTCAGTAGTTCCTATTGGTTCTAGAACAGGAATGATTTGCTGTTGGAGTCCAGGAATTTTTTTTTTTGAAGATAGATAGAGGGATGGATGAATGGATAGATAGATAACTATTTCAATATTATACTTTGTGGTCCTATTTTTTTTATGCATTTAAAAGCATTCTTCTGAGAAGGGCTACATTCCACGCACCTGATAGCTAAAAGGGTCCCTGACATAAAAGAATCCTTGTACTAAAATAAAATAAAATGTCTGTTTGGCATTTAAAGCCCTTCCACACCTTGGCTCCAACCTCCCCCAACGGTCCAGCCAGACTGGCCACTTACTTCTCCTCCTGTGTGTGCTATTTCCACTCTGGCCTCTCTGTACCTTCGTGCTCTCTGTCTCCCTGCCCAGAACGTTCTCCTTCCTCACCTCTCCCTCTAGGAATTCCTCGTTCTCCTGTGCAACCTCCTAAATTAGGCCTTTCTTTATCCTTCCAATTATCTATTCAGGACACATACCCCACTCATTAGTTGATGTTTATATTTATTTTGTTCTTCTGTAAGTTGTTTCCTACCTCCCTCCCCCAGTAGCTTACATTCATAAATGAGATGGTCCAGACCCTGAGGCCAAAGATTGAAGCTGACCTTCCTGAAGACTATTCCTCAAGTTCCTAAAATAAGTATAAGACACTGTGCTAACAAATGAGAAGACTGAACTGATGCTAGAAGGATCGTAAATAAGCTATAGACTTTATGAAACATAAGTTCATAGATTTTTGTGCGTTCTTTACCTTTTGATACTGTATTGGATGAAACATTCGTGAGGTTTTTTGTTTTGTTTTTTCCCCCTTTTGCGCTGGTTTTATATTATGATCCTGAGTGGTCAGGAAGTCCTGAGTTCAAATCCAGCCTCAGCACTGTGACCCTGGACAAGTCACCTATCCTCTCTATGTGTCAGTTTCCTCATCTATAAAGTGAAGGTAGTACTGGCATCTACCTCCCAGGATTGTTGGTAAGATTAAATGAAATAACATTTATAAAATGTTTACCAAACCTTAAAGCATTATATTATTACTATATTATTGCTAATTATCATTAATACTATTATTCATCTCTTTGTCTCCATAGCAACTTGTTGTATTGAAGTGAATCAAATTATAGTGATCATGATAGCTATCATTTATCTAGCATTTTACCAGTTAAATCATTCATTTCTCACCACAACCCAGTGGGGTGGGTGCTATTATGTTTTCCACAAAAGGGAGGCTTAGGCAGGTTCAGTGACTTGCCCAGGATGTCGTACAGCTAGCCTGAAGCAAATTGGAACTCAGGTCTTCTGGACTTCACTTATGCCCAGTGCTGACTGCCTAACCCTACCGCTCCTGCTGTGCCCTGGTGAGCCCTAGGTCCCAAGCAGGAAGATGTAGCAGTTCTCTTTATCTGTTGCCATATTTCTTAACTTGGGGCTGTGGGATTCACTCTCTTTTTCAGACTGTGGAACATGGCTTCCCCCACCAGCCCAGTGCACTGGGCTACAGCCCCTACCTCCGAATCATGGCTATTGGGACCAGGTCTGGAGCCATCAAGCTGTATCCTTTTCATTGCCCTGGCCCCTTTTCCTTAAAAAGGATCCCCAGAAGGCCTACTGAGGAAGGACAGAGTTTTTGGATACTTCTCCTCTCCTCCCAAAGCTAAACTTTTACATATGGTCTTGGGTAGGGGAGGTTATCTGTGAGCGGGTACTGACCACCTAGAGAAATGAAAGGTGATCTTTCTCTGGAAGCTGTGGCTTTCATGTTCTGCTCTATGTCTGTCTTCCTCCCTTAGAGCTCCAAGTATCCAGTTTTACCCTCCTTGTGTAGCCCACCACCCCTATCCCCTACCTGATCCTTTGAATGAATGAATGAAAAAGCCCTTGTTTGTCTCTTGGTTGAGCCCTGGGGATACAAATTCAAAAGCAAAGCCTGCCTTGCCCTTTGGGAGCTGTCCTTTGATGGAGGGTAGGGAGACCACAGTGGGGAAGTTGAATTCTACAGATTCAATTCAGATCAACTGACCATATTAATAAGAACTTATACTTAGAACTTTAAACTTTAGTTAACTTTATTTAGTTCCTAGAAGGCTTTTATACCAGCAAAAGCTGAGGGATAACAAAGGTTACAGATGTGGAATACCCTGGAATGGGGTGGGGGAGTAGAGAATGGGTCCCCTGTTTTCTGAAGCTGAGACCTCTCCTGAGAGTGATCCAGATGAATGAAAAAGCATGTCCTTGCTAAGTGCTAAGCACTGTGCTGGTGGCACAAATCTATTAGGGGAAATCACACTTTTTGGAGAATGGAGGGGGTGGGTGTGGCAGGGAAGGCTGTAATGGAGAGCTTGAGCTCCAGCTTCCAGCCATGGTACCTGGACATACAAGTAGAAGTTGGAACTGTAGGGCAGCTAGGTAGCACAGTAGATAGAGCACTGGCCCTGGAGTCAGGGGGACCTGAGTACAAATCTGGTCTCAGACCAGACACTTGACACTTACTAGCTGTGTGACCCTGGGCAAGTCACTTAACCCCAATTGCCTTGCCGAAAGAAAGAAAGAAAAAATATAACCTTAAATTGTGTTTGTATTAGAAGTTGGAACTGTAGCACATTAGAAAATGGCCAGGCTCAAGATGAGGCTGAATGATCACAGGGACTTCAGAACTGAGGGGTTTAACTCCCCCAGGCCCTGATTGTAAGGAGGTGGTTTCCAAAGATGTGGAGTAGGATCATAAATTTAGAGCTTGGAAGAGATCATAGGGATCATTCTAGAGGAGGAAACTAAGGCAAGCAGAGGTTAAGTGACTTGCCAAGGGTCACACGTGGCTGTTAAGTTTCTGAGGATGGATTTGAACTCAGGTCTTCTGTCTCCCAAGTCCAGTATCCTGTCTACTGTACTATGCATTGACTTCAACCCGTATCTTTGAGAAGGTCTTGGTCAGAGGGTTGTCCTTGAGGCAAGGTACCCATTTCTTTACTTCCAGACCTATTAAGTAGGATACTTCCAGCTAAGCCATTAGAATTTCCCTGTTAGAATATAAGCTCTTTGAGGTCAGGGTTTGTGTTTCACTTTTGTCTTTTGTATCCCCAGTATTTAACACAGTGAAGGACACATGTTTAATGAATGTTTGTTGATTGATTATTTGGGCCTGGGATGGCTGCAGGTTGGTTTTCCTGTGAATTGAGCACAAATAGGTAAATACAGGGGGCCTCTGTCTACCTCAGAGTCCATTCTGACCCCTGGTTTACCCAGAGGCTCTTGGGAGGCCAGGGTGGACCTAGAGTGGCCAAGGGGCCATTCCGAGAACCACCAAGAACACAGATTGATTTAATGGCCAGATTGAGTTATGTTGTTAATCTTTCTCTCTTTTCTTCCCCCTCCCCCCCATCCCCAGTGCTTTCTGGGTCATTTCAGGAGATGAAATGTACTCAGAGCTAATCCTTAAACTTCCCCAAAGGGCTCCGGAGTTGGATATACCATCTCCAGAACTGAACCAGGGCATAACTATCAAACATCAAAGGCATGTAGTCACTTTGGCTGTTTGGCTGGGTGCCTCATTTTTTCCACCTTGGAGGAGAGATTTGATCTGAACTGGGCCCTAAGTTGGGGGAAGGGAGATGGGGACAGGGACAGGACAGGACAAGTCTTGCCGAGTTTGAGTGGAAGGGGTGGGTACAGTTGGGAGGACATGGGGCCTTGCCTGCTGCAAAGTGAATCAGCCCTGCATCTCTGCCAAGTTAATCATTACCAGCTCAGTCCTGAGAAGGCTGGGCATATCCTGGTTACCAACCAGTAATACATCAGATTTGGCCTGGAAACAGCTGCTTAAGGTGAGGAGGTGGGGGTGGCATGGATTTCTTATAGTCCCTTACGTATGTTCCATGTGAATGCTAGGCTAGTCGAAGCTTTGGGGTCTGAGGACCTTTGATCACCAGCAGCAGCTTTAAGCCCTTGTCTGGGTACAGTGAAGAGAAGTAAAACTATCCCCTCCAGCCCTCAAAGTGGGACAAGCTTTTGACTGTGACATTGTGTCCAAGGAATTAACCCCTTGCTCTCCCCTTGCCTCATAAAAGTACAGGTTTTTCACCCCTGCCCCAAAGCCACTGGGAAAATGACTCATCATTCTCTCAGGGCTGTCCAGCCCCTGGTTTCTGAGCTGGAGAACTTCACACAGTCTTTACTTATCTAGCTGTATACACTAGATATGGGATGGGGGGGGCGGCAGAAAGGGAGAGAGCTCCACTCACCAGCTTTCCTAGGAGTTGGGTGGAATGGATTGGGGCTTCTCCTTTCAAACTTGTTCCTAAGCCAGCTTCCAGCTATGGCGCCCCTGGCGTGGAGTTCATGGGTCTTCACCGGGAGAACAATGCTGTGGTACAAATCCATTTCCTCCCTGGCCAGGTAAGGATCTCATGCACTGATTAAATAAGAATGTGATGACAGATGCAAACTAGGGTAAAGGGGAGAGGTGGGGCGGGTCAGGTGGTATCACTGTAGGTGGGATAGATCGGGCAGGATTTGAAAGCCTGGCAAAGACTTGCTAAGATTGCAAGCCCCCCTCCCTCTTTTTCTCCCAACTGATATTCATAGTCTTGCCTGGTCATTGTCTAGAAGGAATGCAGGGGGGTAGGAGTCTTTTCCCTTTATTCTCCCTCACCCCACTTTGTTGCACCTGAGAGGAAGGAGGGAAGCAGTATGATAACCATAAAGTGTTGGGAGTGGTGCTACCCTTGGACATAAGGGGTGCCGCCTCCGTTTACAAGCTGAAGAATGAAAGCCCTATTGTTAACTGATATACAGAGAATCCCCCAGACCAATTGTAGTAAGAGGATCCCTGGGTTTTTGTCCAAGATGACTAGTCCTCTCCTCCCTACCCCTACCCCCACAACCATATGCTGCTCGGCCCCCACCTTACCTCCAACATCTATCTTCATCCCCTCCTCCACTCAGTGCCAATTGGTCACCTTACTGGATGACAACAGCCTGCACCTCTGGAGCCTAAATCAGAGAAATGGGGTATCTGAGCTGCATGAAGAAAAGTTCTCCACTCTTCGGGGGCCCCCGGGGTAAGTCCCAGAGCCTAGGTCCTTACTCCTCTCTAGATTAATGAAGAGGCCAAATTCTAACCCCCCCCCCCCTCCTGCCCCTTGTACCAGTAGAGAGCTCGGTTCACCTTTGGATGAGCTCACGGTATGGCTTCAGTTGGTACCTGGGGCCAGCTTGTGGGAGCTGCCCAAATGGGTGGCTAGGATACACAGAAGGCATCAGAAAGTATCTGGCATAAGAAGCACTGAGGTTTCAGAATTCATAAGCATTTGTCTGGGTTTGATGCAGAGAGTAACTGATATGTTTGTGTTCCATTCCAGAAGCCTGTTTAATCATCTCAGTGAGATTTCCAAAGCACAGCATTCTCTAGGGGTGGAGGGAGTTCAAAAGGGTAGAGGCCTGACTTCTTATGAGTGGGGCTTCACAGAGACAGACAGCATGCCTCTCCTCCCCTCCCTAGACCCTCAACTCACCCATGTTTTCTGCCTTAATTGGGGATTTCAGCAGTTCGAAATACAGCAGTGAATTTTCTTGTTTGCAGGGCTGCCCCCAGTGCCACCCAAATTACAGTGATTCTGCCTCATTCCTCCCAAGAGCTGCTATATCTGGGCACTGAAAGTGGCAACGTGTTTGTGGAGAAGCTGCCCTCCTTCCAGATGCTAGAGGACCAGATGATCAGTACGGAGGCTGTCTTGCAATGGTGAGCTGGACTGAGAGTCCCAGCAGGCCTTCACAGAGTGAGGCTAAGGCCAGCCTTATCCACTGAGAGAAGCAAGTAATTGTGTGCATGGTATAAATTGACAGGGCCAGGAAGCCAGAGTGAGTTGGGGGAAAGGAGGGGTGTACCTGGGGTGGTGGTCAGCTTTTAGGACAATAGTGACAGTATACATAAGATGCAGAGCTCATTCAATTATCCATCTCAAGATTGGGCAAATGGAATATAGATTTTAGAATAGCGCGTGCCCTCAGCAGGGGGTAGGGGGGAGGGAGACAGAGGGGTTGAAAAAACTTGGGTAATTTGAGGTATGTTCAGATTTGAACTTCATCTCTGGATAGCCATCGGACACCACTTGTCATTGCTTTGTCTGGCTTTTAGACTGGCCCCAAAGCACAGCTTCATCATAGCCAGCTTCTGGGGCAGGGCTTGCTTTCATACTGAAGCATTTGAAAACATTGCCTCCTTTGAAGTTAGCCAGGCCTCCAGTTCTGGGGTATTAGAGGATACATATTACAATTTATGCTAAACAATCATCTATAGATTTGCTAGGATCCACTGTTTCTTTGCCATTTCTCTGGTAGTTGGGAATCCTTTCCCCTCTCAGGCTGCTGGGGACTTTCTTGTATTGCATCAGCTTCAGGTAGAGGGAGGAGAGAATACAACCCCCTTGGTCGTGGCCTCACTGGGCTGTCAATCAGCATCATACTGTCCTCTCCCTCCTCTCTCACCGAAAAGTATTGACTATGGTAGGAAGCTCTGTGTTTGTCAATTCCCTGTGTCCAGGTTGCCTAAGGATGCACAGCACTGGCGGGCATTTGAGATGGTAGAGGCACTACAAGAACATCCACAGGACCCTACCCGGGTCCTGATTGGCTATAGCAGGGGCCTTATCATTATCTGGGACCTTCAAAATAGCCGGGTGCTACACCACTTCCTGAGTGGCCAGGTAGGTAGAATGCCCGGGGGCTGTGGGGCAGTAGGATGGGCATCCAGTAACTTTCCTTTGATGCTAGTGTCTGGTACTGATGATAGGCATGGGCAGAGCAAATAAACATGGCCCCTATCCCTTCATGCCCTGTAAACTCTGTTCTGGGCACTCTAGAGATCTTATAATAGGATCATAGGGTGTGGAACTGGAGGGACTTTGCATCATCTAGTTCAATCCCCTAATTTTACAGATGAGGAAACTGAGGCCCAGAAAAGGGAAATGACTTGTCTAAGGTCGCAGAGCTGGGATTCAAACCCAGGTCCTCTGACTCTTTCCATTGCACCATGCTATGGTACTAATCCTCTGTATTTAAACTGGGGAAGGGGGTTTTAGGTGATGGGAAAAACTGCCTACTCAATTTTGATATCCTTCCCACCTCTCCCCTTCTCTAGCAACTGGAGAATGTCTGCTGGCAGCGAGATGGGGGTTGCATTGTCAGTTGCCATTATGATGGGAGCTACTGCCAGTGGAAAGTGTCCAGTGAAGCCCAGCATCCTGAGCCCTTGCAAAGCAGAGTGCCTTATGGTCAGTGGGCCTGGGTGTACCTGGTCTCAGAGCCAGGGACCCAAGCATCGGTCTCCTCAAGAGATCTCTTTGCATCTGTAGACATATGAATCTATGAACCTGTATGTTCTCTAACCAATTCCATTTCTCCTTTTTTTTGCCCCAGGTCCTTATCCTTGCAAAGCTATTTCTAAAATCTTCTGGCTGACGACCAGGAAAGGGTACATCTCTGGGGTTTTTTCTCTTCTCTTCTTCCATCTAGCACCTGTTCCCATCCCTGCCCCCCAACTCATGGAGAATGGCCTGTATTCTCTAAACAAGTATGCACTTTTCTGTTTGGTGGAGACATATCAGCGATGATTTCCAATCTGCCATCCACCTTGAGGGGAAGCAGTTGGCCCTTAACCCAGCAGGGGAATGGGAATAAGAAAGGGGGCCAATGTAAGAGCATTCAGGTCCTTCTGGGAAGGGAGGGAAAAGATTTCAAGTCATTTATAAACCTAAATTCCCGTTACACACACATACACATCCAACATCATGGGATTTTTCATTCTGAAAAATAACGTTTTCAGAGAGAAAAAGGGAAAGGATTAATTAAGGGAATGAATGAGACAAAGCCCACATCTCCCTTCCTGCTTAGTTGGGAACATATAGTACTATGTCCTTGTCACCATCAACACCCAGGAAACTCTCCCAGTGCAGAAGACAAGATGTATCAGACTCCACAGGATGAGGCAGGCCATGGGATATCTTGGATTGTCCGCTTTGCCTAGTGACTCTCTCCAGAAAAGTAGGAAGGGTGCCTCCATCTATCCTTGCCTTGAATGCATGCCCCCACTTCCCCCTGGCAGAGCCCAAAGCTGAGAGGATTGAGGTTGCTCATTCTGTCTTCCGGTTTGACTCCCCACTCCCAGGCTGCCCTACATCATCTTCCAGGGTGGCATGCCCCGAGCCAGCTATGGAGACCGGCACAGCATCTCAGTGACTCATGGGAACCAGGAGACAGCATTTGACTTTACCTCTCGAGTCATTGACTTTACTGTCCTCACAGAGGCTGCCTCTGGTAGGCTGCACTTATTTTGGGTGTCTCATCTCATGCGTGGGTCAGTAGATAAAGAGAAAGGAGGCCTCCACATAAGGATAGAGGGGATAGGAGGGAAGGAAAAGCATTTTTTTAAGCACAAACATCTCATTTTGTCCTCAAAACAGCCCTTGGAAGTAGGTGCTATAATTATCCCCTTTTCACACTTGAAGAAACTGAGGCAGAAAGAGGTTAAGTGACTTGTTCAGCTAGAATGAGTCTGAGGACTGATTTGAAGTCAAGTCTTCCTGACTCCAGGCCCAGCCTTTAATCCACTTGCCACCTACCTGCCACTAATATAGATGGGGATTGTACCTGTGATTTCATTAATATAGGGAATTGCTACGTGAGGAAACTCTCTTTGCCAATGTAGTAATATATAATGATAATTTAATAATAGCATATAGTTATCTATATTACTATATATAGTTATAACTATAATAATAATTGCTAACATTAATATTTCGCCAGGTACTATGGTAAGTGCTTTACAAATATTATCTCATTTTGTCCTTAAAACAGCCTTTGGTGATAGGTGCTATTATTATCTCCGCTTTATGGTTGAGGAAACTGGGTCAGACGCAGAGGTTAAGTGACTTGCCCTGGGTCACACAGCTAGAAAGAATCTGAGGCCTGATTTGAACTTGGGTTTTCCTGACTCTAGGCCCAGCAGTCTGTCTACCTGCCTGCCTCTGACAGAGATGGGGACCAGACCTGTGATTTCATTAATACAAGGAATTACTGGTTGAGGAAACTTCCTTCTGCCAAGTCGATACCTTCTCTATATCAATTAAGTGGTTTTCTAAGTCAATGTATGCCTACAGGGATCCTTATGTATGGTTTAGTGGCTTTCATTTCTATTTGATACCACTGACCTAGAGCATTTGAGAAGCTAAGTGACTTGCTCCAATTCACAAAGACAATGTATATTAGAAGCTAGACTTGAACCCAGGTCTCAGTGACTTCAAGCCTCCCTCTCCCTGTAATAGTTCCTTAGTGTTTGGATTTGAATTGAAAGAAGGGATAGAGGAAACAGGAAAAAACTGAGCACTGGGCATTCCTGAACCTGTGACAGTCCTGGATTCCTCGGCTCTCACCCTAATAGAATAGTGAGCTAGAATTGAGGTCAGAAGACTGATTGAGAGGGGGGGCTTATTTTGGGCACATTTCATAACCTTTCTGAGCCCTGGCTTCCACATCTATAAAATAATTACATACCTGCCTCACCTCGTGGGGCTGTTGGGAGGAGAGTACTCTGTGGTAGGTCCTCAAAGCCTTATAGTATAATTCAGCTTAAGCCTACTGAGGCAGAACCCATATTGGTCATACCCTCCCATTGACTCTGAAAATCGTACCAGGTGGGGACCTTGGAGGACATTTGTCTTAAACTTAAATTTAAAAACTTTTAATTAAAATTAAAATGTAATAAAAAACTTAAATAACCCTTAAAGTTTTACTTGAGGAAACTTGGACCTAGGGAAAGTGATTTGCCTGAGGTTACATAGAGGTAAAATTTGTACACACATCCTCTGGGAGTCAGTGCTGATTCTTGTAGTAATTTTTGCCCTTGGTCATGGCTTTTCCTGCTTAAAAATCTACTCTACCAACTCCTGTGTTAAGGGAAATGAGGTGGGGGGTGGGGCAGGGGAGAGAAGTCTGCTTGGCTTTAAGAGACCTGTCTTCTTCCCACCCCCACCTCAGTCTTCCCTTGCAAAAGCTGGGCACAGCCTGAATTGAATAGCACAGGGGTGAATCAGTCTTCCAACTTGGGTGAGATCAAAGGGGGCTGATATTGAAACCTGGAGGGAGAAAGAGAGAGTAGGAGTTCCTCCTCCTAATTACTCCAGTTTAATGAGGACTGTTGAGCTGGAGAAGAAAGGGTCGGGCTGTCCCAGGACTACTCTGGTCCTGCTGGTCTATGAATTCTCCTATCCTCACTGAGCCTACCAAGCCCTTTCCTATGTCTTTCATTAAGACTCGGCCCTTAAGTTTTCCTTCCACTTCCTCATCTGGAGAGCATGACACACCTAGGTTACTGTTCCCCATGTTGTCCTATTGGGGCCACAGTCCAGTGGTTCGAGGCGTGCATCTGTCACTCACTTTCTGTGTGATGCTAGTAAGTCACTGAATTCGACCACAGACTTCAGCTAAGGACACTGTGTCACCTGTGCTAAGCTTTAGAGGTGAAAAAACAAGTAAGACAAGGTTCCTGCCTTCAGGTGACTGACAAGATGATGATGGAGTCAGGGAGATAAGACAGGCACGAATTGCTAAAATACAAAACAATACTGAGGGATAAAGAAGGTGCTGTTGGCCTTGAGCTTCTCTTCTCTGCAAGGATAGAAAGGATTATGGCCTCACAAAGATGTTGGGAAGATACAATTTCATAAGACACAAAGGTATTTGAAAAAATTTTTTAATTCTATAAATGGGACGTTTTTATAATGGGTAAACCATCATTTGTACTTCTGTAACCTATCATTTTTTAAAAAATTTCTTAAGCATGTATTATCTCTCCCATTGGCTCTCCCCTGGTGAACAGTTTTTTTGAAAAGAAAAAGAAAATCCTCATAATTAATATACCCAGTCCAGCAAAACAAATTCCTGTGTGGGCCATGTCCAAAGTTGTATGTCTTATCATGTATTTTAAGTCCCTACCAGCTCTCTGGACTTGTTTGTCATTACGTTGATTGGAGTTTTAAAGTCTTTCAGAGTTATTTTTCTCTGTCATATTGTTATGGCATAAATTTTTCTCCCGGTTCTGTTCATTTCCCTCAGCATCAGTTCATAAAAGTCTTCCCAGTTTCCTCCAAAATTGTCCATTTCATCAATTCTTTAATGATTTTTTTTGGAGGGGGGGTGGGGGATGTAGGCAGTGGGGTTAAGTGACTTGCCCAGCTAGTGAGTATTATGTGTCTGAGGCTGGATTTGAACTCAGGTCCTCCTGACTCCAGGGCCGGTGCTCTATCCACTGAACCACCTAGCTGCCCCCATTTATGTGCATGATAATATTCTATTACATTCATATACCACAGTTTGTTTAGCCATTTGCTGATAGGTAGGCACATGCTTCTGTATATCCACTCCATCCTAGCCATTCCTGAACCCACTGCCCAAAGTCCTTGCCTGCCCACTGTCACTAGGCACTAGGGTTCCCAGCCTTTTTTGGTTTCTTTTGACATTAGCTTTCAGTAAACCTCCGTGTCTTCTATTCAATTTCAAAGGAAATAAACTTGAGAGTTTACCATGCATGTACCCATAAATAAAACAGATTATTTTTTTCATAAGGAATCTTTTGTTCAATACTTAGTCTCATAAAGTTGTTGAATGTTTATCAGAACACAATCAAATTATTTATTGAGACCTTTATTGTTTCTATTTCTTGTCAAGCAACAGTTTAACTCTTGGTAGTTTTAAAAAGAGATACCCTACCCTCCAGATTATGTTAAGCCTCCACTTTGTTTCTTGGTTTGGATTTGATTGAGAACAGGCAGCAGAACTGATAATCCTGCCTGATTCAGGAGATCTTAGGTCCAAAGGTGGAAGAAACATTAGAGGTCATCCGGTCTTTTTCCTGAAGAAGAAACCCATGGCCTGGGAACTTCTGATATGCCCAAGGTTACACAAGTAGATACTTTGCATCCAAGATGAGATGTGAACCCAAATGATCTGACTCTAAAACCCAGGCCTCTATCCATTACACAATGCTGGATTAAATTTTAGTACCTGACTTTCTCCACCCTTAGTTGTTAGCTATTATTAACCCTGCCACTTTTGCAATATTTCAATAGGATGACATAATTATTTACTAAATATTCCCTATACCCTCCTTATGAGCTTCTTATCCCGCAGGTAGGGAACCCCTGTTCTCAACAGAGGGCCCATTTGGGAAGAAGAAATGAATAAGAGGGAATTCTGGTCAGTTCCTCTGGGGTTCTACTTTCTGCCTCCAGACAGATCTTGTGGCCCTATGCAAAACACTTGCCCCATTAGTACATGACTTGTATGTTCATATTGTGTTTTGTTTTGTTTTTTGGTACTTAGAACAGTGATCTCCAAGCCTTTCTGATCATGCATTCAGTTTCTAAAATATTTTTTAAAATAATAAAAAAAATGTATATGCATTCTAAATGAGTATGTGCATCATAAAATCTACACAAAAAGTAGGAACTAAAAAGGATGAGGTGAAGATGAAATAAACAATATTTTTAAATAGTTTTTATTTTAACAGGATGAAAAGCCTTATCTTTAACTAAAATTATTAGTTGACCTTCATTTTGGTAATTTCTTATTCATATTTTAGCAGAGGTGATTTCATATTGCTTCATTATTTTTTTTTTAATCTTGTAATGCAATAGTTCAGTGGGTTGGTTCTGTGTTTAGTCTAGTTTGACTCCTGGTTTTAGTGGCTGTCACAGCTGAACAAAATAACTCACAAAAATATTGTCGTTGTTTGTCACCCTTTGTTCTCGAGAGGGACCAATGACATCACAAGGGTGATGTCTTGACTTTCTAGTGAATTGTATTTAGGTGAGGCAGAGCTGCACAAAAATGTGGAGCACAGTCGAAGAAGAGGATTATTGGCTGGGCTTACTAAATCATGATACTCGTTTTTCAGTCTCATCCACTAATAATATGAAGGTTTTTATTTGAAATATGGTTAGCACATGTCCATCTTCCCTGATGTCAATAGTTTTCTTGCAAACTAATTAGAAGATGTTGCATTGTAAAAAAAAAAATTAGCCTATAAATATAAACTCCTGAAACTTTTTACTTGGTAAATTTCTAAACAGATTAAAAAACTTTCCTTTCCCAGTTTGTATGCAGATATGAATACTTGTGTAGGTGACATATATCATTTTCATACAGCAGAAGCCTAAGTTTTTAACTCTTTTGCTAATCATGATGATTTCATGCAATTATTAGTATCTCAAGGCACAATGTATACTTAGGGCAAGGTTTATAATTAATGATAGAGGATATCAACTCCTTATTTCAAATAATCTTGCTATTTTTTTTGGCTACTTTGTCTGATTTAATTAGATTGCCATTGTTTTTACCAATTAGGTAAAAGTATCAGCTCTATCATTTTCTTGTTGGCTTGTTCTCGTGTATTACTGTTATTTTCACCTAATAATATTTTATTTTTTTCCAATTACATGTAAAGATATTTTTCAGCATTCATTTTTGTAAGATTTTGAGTTCCAAATTTTTTTCCCTGCCTTCCCTACCCCCCTCCCCAAGACAGCAAGCAGTCTGATTACTATTATTTTCATTCTGCGATTTCTTTGCCAAGAATCTTGTCCTATGGGCAACCTAGGTGGTACAGTAAGTGAAGGCTAGATGTCATGAAGATTTGAGTTCAAATTCTGTCTTAAACTTTTAGTAGCTGTATGAGCCTGGGCAAGTCATTCTCCTAGACTTAGCTTCCTCATCTGTAAAATAGGAATAATAATAGCACCTACCCTCATAAGATTGTTCTGAGGATCAAATAACTGGAAAGAGCTTTGAAAAGCACTATATAAATGTTATTAGCTGTTAGCTTTTTCACCCTGGGCAGATTTCTTAACTGATTTGTAACTCTGGCAACTCAGTAGGACTTAACCAATGTAGCTTAGAGTAGAACTAACCCTCCTAGAAATTCTGTAAATTAACAAAATCACAGACCCTTCCTAAATACAAAAGTTCTTTAAAGGACTGGGACCCCCAGGGACCATGTGGGGAGCCAAGAATAGGTTTGCCAAAATCGAGAGAGACTCACTTGGGTGATGCTGGTGGGGGGGTTGGGGGGCTGGTCTTCCAGTGCTGTAGGGGTAAGGGGATAAGGGTTTTGCTTGGCCACTGGGGTTCCTCTGGGCAAGGATCACAAAGTTCCATCTCTGAAATAAGTTCATCCTTGTAACAACCTTGTCCTAAAGGGTGATTAAGGCACTGATTGAACCCAACAAGTTATTTATAACCAGTGGGGTTTTTGAAGGTGGGCCTGCTCCTTTCCTGTCACCTGTCCTGGTTGCTTATCCCCACTTCCTACATACACACACACACACACACACACACACAGCCAAGTGACCTGATATGTGGGAGTAGGGGTGTGTCTTCTGGGAAGGAGTCCCAAATCTAAATATGTATAGTAGGGATCATTGAGTGTACGTTCAGAAAAACTGAGACTGGGCTCTTTTGGGAATTTACTAGTCCCTTCTGAGGAAGTCTCTGAAGGAAAGATTCGGGTTGTGTTAAAAAAAATATAGACGTTATTTTTATAAAACTAGATGAAAATTAGTTCCTTCCATTAGGATACATGGACCTGAGGGATGGGAATTCTGTGGTTCCATCCCTGGAAAGCCTGACGTGAGACTGGGTAGAGGGCATCTCTGTGATCTGATTTTCAGTTAGGGCTTACCCAACATAAGGGTCCTTACTTTGCAATAGCAAGGCCCCAAGTTAGCTGTGCGTGGTCGTCAGAATCTGTGGGCAGAGAAATTTTGGTCATGGGTAACCATGTATGTGTACAACTTTCTGGGGAATATTGCTAGGGTCATGTCTGGATTATGGAATGGTAACCTAGATTTGGAGAGATGAGACTGCCTCCTAGTGGGCTAGGACAAATAGTAGTTTTCCCTGCTCTGGCAGAGCCCAGAGCAGGGACCTTGAAACTGCTGAGTCTGGTCCTATCCTTTCTCCCCAGACTTTGATGAGCCTTATGCTATGGTGGTGTTGGCAGAAGAGGAGTTGGTGGTGATTGACTTGAAGACAGCAGGCTGGCCAGCCATCCAAGCCCCATACCTAGCATCCCTCCACTGTTCTGCCATTACCTGCTCCCACCACGTCTCTAGCATCTCCCTGAAGCTGTGGGAGAGGATCATTGCAGCTGGAAACAAACAGAATTCTCACTACTCTACCATGGTATGTTTACCGCCTGAAAGTGCCTGCATTCAATGACACACATTCATCTAAAAGTCAAAACTGGGGGATAGTTATATCAGTAAGATTAAACCCATATCAAAACTGGCCTTCCCCTCTTTAGCATTTCCAGACTTTATGGGCTAAGTTTTTGAGGTCTGGTCATGTATTTTTCAGGTGTGGCCCATTGATGGGGGTACCAGTTTGGCCCCAGATCCGCCTCAGAGGGACCTGCTGCTCACTGGGTAAGTGATTGTGATAAATCCATCTCACGCAGGGCAGGTGTGCTGAGTCACTCCACTCATTTCCCCATAGTGTGTCCCCACGCTACTCCATCATATCCCTATGTGTACCTAAGCTCACATGCTTTCCCCCTTTCATCACTGCTTACTCTGGCCACAGACATGAGGATGGCACAGTGAGGTTCTGGGATGCCTCGGGCGTCTGCCTACGCCTGCTCTATAAGCTAAGCACAGTCCGTGTGTTCCTCACTGACACTGACCCCAACGACAACCTCAATGCTGTGGGAGAGGATGAGTGGCCCCCGCTGAGGAAGGTAAGTGCTCCTTTAGGAATGGGCAGGACTGCGAGCATTGGGGAAGACTTGTGTTTTCACAGGTGATTTGGAAGGTCTCACTTTTTCCTTCCAACCTGGTCAGGTTGGCTCTTTCGATCCCTACAGTGATGACCCACGACTGGGGATTCAGAAGATCTTCCTTTGCAAATATAGTGGTTACTTGGCAGTGGCGGGGACTGCAGGGCAGGTAAGAGACCTAGGGCCCGAGCAGAGGGAGGGCAGGGTGAGTTCTGCTCCAGCTAAACTTGCACCCCTGCCCCTCCTACCTCCCATCAATCAGCGGCCCTGGCTGTACGCTGCAGCGTCTCGTCCGTGGGCCACAGCTCACGTGGTAGGTGCTGGACCCTGGGCCCTTCTGCCTCAGGTAGTTACCGGCTCAGCCCCTCTGTACCTTCCCTCTGCCCCGCAGGTGCTCGTGCTGGAGTTGAATGACGAGGAGGCAGAACAGGTGGTAGACCACATAGAAGCTAACCTGTTGCAGGACCAAGAAGGCTATCGATGGAAGGGGCATGAGAGGCTTCGGGCTCGGCAGGGGCCCATCTGCTTTGAGTCGGGCTTCCAGCCTTTCATCCTAGTACAGTGCCAGCCCCCGGCGGTGGTCACCTCGCTGGCCCTGCACTCGGAGTGGAAGCTTGTGGCCTTTGGAACAAGTCATGGCTTTGGGCTTTTCGATCACCAGCAGAAGAGACAGGTTTTTGTCAAGTGAGTGGTACCTCCCTTGGGGAGAAGGGTTGAGATGTGGAAGGATCTGGGAGACAGCTCAGGCAGAAGACAGTCATTCCTTAATCAGATATCAGATATTTATTAAGGGCTCATTAAGCCCTGGGCACTGTGATAAATACAAAATATAGTTTTAAAAAATTAGTCCCTGCCTTCAAGAAGCACACATTCTAATGGAGAAGACAACAGGTAAGTAACTATGTACATGCAAGATATATAACAGTCTCAGAAGGAAGGCACTGACAGGTGGGGAGAATAAGAAAGGACCCCCCCCAAGAAGGTAGGCTTTGAGCTGAGTCTTAAAGGAAACTAGGGGTGCCAGCAGGTAGAGGTGAGGTCTCTTGTCCATATCTTGTCACCTCAATAGTTCCGTCTCACCTTTAAGAGAAGGAAGGAAGAAAGGAGAGATGAGTATATGTACTTTACTCCCTTTCAATCTGCTGGGAGCTCATGTTATAGCTGCCTGGATATTCAGGCCTCTACTTGAGGGCCTCTGACCTCCTGTGTCTGGCCATCCCTAGATGTACACTGCACCCTAGTGACCAACTAGCCATGGAGGGCCCCCTGTCCCGTGTAAAGTCTCTGAAGAAATCCTTACGGCAGTCATTCCGAAGAATGAGCCGGAGCAGGGCATCCGGTCGCAAGCGGCGCATGGCTGGCAACTCAGGGGAGGTAAGCCCGGAGAGAGGAGAAGTTAATTTCTTCTTTCTTCTTGGCCTGAGATGGCTCCCAGGAAGCAAACTGCCATCATTATAATAGGTTCTTCTTTCCCTTTCCCTGGGTACCTTGGCTGCCTTGTGGCCAGGAGGCAAAAAGGGTGCCTCACACTCTGAAAAATGGTCGTAGGTCCAGAAAAGGGTAGCTGGCTTTGGGTTAGGATCTCCCTTCTAAGAACAGGCACCTTGACACTAGTGAGAGGGGGCATCACTCCCTTATACTTCCCCCACTTCTAAATAATACAAATCTACATAATTGAGCAAAACAAATTCCCTTGTTGGCCTAGTGGGTCATCTTCAGTCCTCTGGACTCATGATTTCTCATTTGCATTGATTAGAGTGCTTACGTCTTTCAGAGTTGCTCTTCTCAGGCTCCTTGCTGGCATCGTGCTTCTACTTTCTGCTCATTTCCTTTTGCTAGCCTCATAGAGGTCTTTCCAGTTTCCTCTGAACATGTCCATTTTGTCATTTCTTCTGGCACATTGTCTTGCATTACATGCATATAACATTTAGCCATTCCCCAACAGGTGGCACTCCCTTAGTTTCTAGTTGCTGTCAGTATTTTTGCACACATGGGTCCTTTTCCCCTCTTTGATCTCTTTGGGGCATGGTGGTACCACCAATAGTGGTATTGCTTTACAAACCCCTCCTTTCCTCCTCTCCCTTCTGTGTCTCATACCTTACTTACTTTATTCCTCTACCATCCACCCCATCCCCAAACCCTTCTCTGGCTTAGTTGCAGGAGCCCAATGCCAGGGCAGATCGAGTAGGCTTACAAAACATGGAGCTGGCCCCGGTGCAGAGGAAGATTGAGGCCAGGTCAGCGGAGGACTCATTCACTGGCTTTGTCCGGACCCTCTACTTCGCTGACACCTACCTTCGGGACAGTGAGCAGCCTCTGTTCAGTCTAGTTGGGGGGGGGAGGGAAGAGTGGGGGACGTGGGGTGGAGGTGGATAACCTCTGGCTGGCTCAGCATTATTTTTGCCCTGATACAGCAACACATAGAGAGCCCTAGAGAATTCTTTGATCTGTCCCTTGCCCTCCTTTCTACCATGTTCAGAATGCCTAGAGTCAGAGTACCTGGTTTTGAGTCTTCATTCTTCTATTTGTTATGTGTATAATGCTGGGCAGTGGACTTTTCTGTGCCTCAGTTTCCTCATCTGGTATTAAGATAATACTCTGCCTCCGTCAATCCTACATTCTAGGATGAAGCATGTGAGCCCACGTGTGAACCCTGTGTATCTGGGATGGGGGGAAGGGGAGAGGACCCAATAGAAGTAGTCTCTTGGGTCCACAATGGCTTGCTGTTCCTGGCTAGGTTAGTCTTGGGTCTTCTGGGCTACCTAGAAAGTGGATGTACTGGGACAGTCTACCCCAATTCCAGGGAGATGAGTGGCTCAGGACCCTTTTTACCTTCACAGATTCTTACCACTGCCCTTCCCTGTGGGTGGGCACCAATGGTGGCACAGTCTATGCCTTTTCCTTGCGTGTCCCACCTCCTGATAGGAGAATGGAAGAACCAATCAGAGCTGAACAGGGTGAGTGATGGATGGGAGGGCCTGGCCTTGTGGGTGGGGGAGACCAGACTCTCTCCCATGGCATAAAACCGGGAATCCTTGAAGCTGACCAAGGGGTATGCTCCCACCTCACCACTGCTCCACCTTCTCTCCTTATAGCCAAGGAGATCCAACTGATGCACCGTGCCCCCGTGATAGGCATCCTGGTCCTGGATGGGCGAGGCATGCCCCTCCCTGAACCCCTGGAGGCAGCCCACGACCTCTCAAAGAGCCCGGACATGCAGGGCAGCCACCAGCTCCTTGTTGTATCTGAAGAGCAATTCAAGGTGATTGGCAAGCAGGGGCCACTTCCTGATCTTGAGACTAGTGGAAACCTCTCTGCTAACTCTTTTGCCTTTCTTTATATCTCTAGCATTTAGCACTGGGTCTGGCATATAGAAAATGCTTAGTAAATGATCACTGACCGAGTGTTCCTGGTCGTAGGGGCTGCTACCAGGGCTTAAAAATCTCCCTTCCATTAACGTAGCCTAGAAGCAGACCAGGCCTACTATGTAGGGTGGGCTCACACTGGGGCTTTGGGAATGGACCCAAGTCCCGTTTCATGTGGGAGTCCATCAGCAGTGGGTCACCACGTGTAGGGCTCTGTAGGGGTATCTTGGGTATTTAGAAGAAAGAGAAGGTGTGCGCCCCAATCCCAGGGAGAGATAGGATATATGACATTGAGGAGAAGTATTAGGATGGAACGAAGAGTGTTCACAACCAAGTCACCAGCGAAGGCTTCCTGGAGTTAATTTTTCTGCAGAACCTAGATGAAGGAAGTGACAGGCTTCAGTAGAGAGGAATGAGGAAGAAATCCCCTCTGGGAGATATGATTGGCATGTGTACAAGCTAGTACATAAGAGACGGAGAATGGTGGGGGAGGGTGGACTGAAGACTGCTGTTTGTCTGAAGTCTCAGCTGGGAGATTCATGAGGGATAACCTTGGAAGGACGGGGCCTCCCAGAGAGGGGAGCTTGGGCAATAAATCATGTTGTGTTCCCCCTTTCCTCCCACCCCATCCCCCTCTAGGTGTTCACTCTGCCCAAGGTCAGTGCAAAGCTGAAACTCAAACTCACCGCGTTGGAGGGCTCACGGGTACGGCGGGTCGGCGTGGCCCACTTTGGCAGCTGCAAGGCGGAGGACTATGGGGAACACCACCTAACCGTCCTCACGAATCTGGGTGACGTCCAGGTAGTCTCCCTGCCCTTCCTCAAGCCCCAGGTACGATACGGCTGCATCCGCAAGGAAGACGTCAGTGGTATTGCTTCCTGTGTCTTCACCAAATACGGCCAAGGTACGATGGCCTTGGGGCCCCTGAACCCAGACCAGGCCGGCCTTCCCTGTCACTTCCGTGCCTTGTGCCCTGGACCTGTCTTGTCCTTTGAGTAGGGGTGGGGGCAGAAGGCTGAGCACCTTTGTGAGTCTTCCTAAGACGTTGTTCTGCCTGTTGATGCACGGGTTATAACCCTCAGCAATGCTCAGGATAGTAGTGGGTGCCCAGATAGAGGCTGGATGGAGGCAGGGTAGGAGATGTACTGGAGGGGCTGTCAAGGAAGACAGGCTTGTGATCTGAGGGGCTGCTGCTCACTTTCCCCTCCGGATTTCCTGCTAGATTCACACCTTGTCCTCTCTTTATCCCTTTACTTATCCTTCAGGCTTCTACCTGATCTCACCCTCTGAGTTTGAGAGGTTCTCTCTCTCCACAAAGTGGCTGGTTGAGCCTCGGTGTTTAGTGGACACAGCAGAAACCAAGAACCACTGCTCGACCCTCAATGGCTCAGGCGTCAAGAAGGGCTCAAGCAAAGCCAGGTGAGTAAGGGAGCTGTGGTCCGCAAGCAGAGGGAAGAACCCCCCCATCCACCCCAGCGGCCAGAAAGCAGCAGGAATTGGGATGCTGGGGGCTGGGTGGACCACCTTGAGCAGAAGTTAGAAAACCTCACTGTGTCCTCCCTGCAGGAGCTCGGAGAACTCGGGAGATGGAGGCGGTGAGTAGACCTACCTGTAGACCGTGGGTATGTTGAAGGAGCCTCTAGGGTGGGGCAGAAGCTTCATGAGAATGGGGATAAATAGGAAATGTTGAGAGCACGTGGGGATGGGGTCTTGATGATAAAGAAGTTGCTCCCTTTACAAACGTTTGTCATCTCAAATGAGCCGTACCCTTCATGCCTGTCTGGGCTGGGAGTGGAAAGGTGGCATTCCTTAGAACTTGGTGTCAAACTCAATCAGAAGAGAGTGGAGGGAGCACCAAACCGATCCCTGTGGGCTGCATGTTGATGTTAGTATTGTCTGTGTTCTGTTGCATTTATTTATTTTGTTAAGTATTTCCCAGTTGTCCTCACTGGAGAGTGATGCAGGCTGACCCAAAGCTGTTGAGGACTCTCCAAAGAGCTTTTGTTTATGTGGATTTATAGCTATCTACCATATTAGATATTTAAATGTCTTAGTATTATTACAAAAATGGTTTTGACTTGGGGGATCCTGTGAAAGGGTCTTGAGGACCCCACAGGGATCCCCGGACCGCACTTTGCAAACCACAGCCTTAGAACACTCCCCTGGTGCCAGGGTTGGGATAACGTGGGGAAGAGTTCCAGAGGAACCAGGGTTAGGATTCAGTGGGTCTGTGGGCTCCTCTTCCTTGCAGGGAGGAGTCAGGAACCATTGATGGAACGGGCCCTACTCAATGATGAGAGTAAGTGGGAAGTTTGAGAGGATCTGAACTGGGGAAGAAATGGAGATGAGTATTTCACCTCATCCTAGTGAGAAACCTGAGAGCAGAGAAGAGACTTAGTGAATGATTTCCCTGAGGTCCAAAAAAGGCTTGTCCTAGGAACCCTCACCTTACGGGCAGTATCCTGAGTTCATGGGAAGGAAAAGGAAGATGGGGCATGTGATGATGTCTGAAATATCACCAGACCCACTTTCCCCCTCCTTCCCCTACCCACTCCCATCCCGCAGTACATGTAAAGTGTGACTGTCACCATTTGTAAGATATTTGGGTATAAGGCAACGCATCCCAGCTCCTCCCAGACCTCTGGGGTGGGGCAGTGTCTGCCTCAAAGCATCCCTCTCTTCCTTGATAGCACAGCTCAAATCCCACTGTCTGTTCCTGATTTCCTTTCTCCTGCCACCACCACACAACTGCCCTGCCCTCCCTCCCAACTACCTTGCAGCTCATTGCTTTGCATGTACTCTTTATATGCTGATGCAGGGCTTTGTATTTATATATTACTATATTTAAGCTTTAGTAGTTTGAAACTGCAGTGAGACTTTTCAAGCAGACTATATAGTAGTACTTGGTAGGGAGCTTCATTCTTTACCTTTGTATTCCCAGCAGCTGGCATGATGCCTGGTATACGTAAATGCTTGTGAATTAATTCTCTTTGCAGGAGTCCTGAAGGAGATCCAGAGCACTTTGGAAGGTGACAGAGGGTAAATGTTCTCCCCTCTACCCTCTTAAAAAAAAAAAGACAGAACCAGGATTCACTCAGCAGTGTGACTCCCCTATAGCTAGAGAAGACATTGTCCCAGTAAACCTGGGGTATTTTTTCCTGCATTTTACAGGATGCCTTTTTTTTTTTGGCAAGGCAGTCAGGGTTAAGTGACTTGCCCAGGGTCACACAGCTAGTGAGTATCATGTATCTGAGGCCAGATTTGAACTCGGGTCCTCCAGACTCCAGGGGCAGTGCTCTATCCACTGCGCCACCTAGCTGCCCCCAGGGTGCCATTTTTATATAATGTGTCTAGTTCCCGGTATCTCCCGTAGCACATAGAATAGTACTGGAGGACCTACACAGTCTTCTTCTGTGCAGATATTTTATTAAATTGAATGGAATGCTACTTAACCTCTCTAGGTCCCAGCTAGGCAGTGACAGTTTTCTCTTTGCAGGAGTTATGGGGAGTGGTATTCCCAGCAAGTTGCAGTGGGACGTAGACACAATAATGGTGGAGGTAGGTGACTTTGGAGGGTCCTAGGCAGGGGCTCCTCTGCTCTCTCTGCCGCCATGGGCTATCCATACATATAGGCTTTTTCTGGGAGCCCCGAGTCTAATCAGAAGGACCGCACCTCAGACAGGCATCCAGGCGTCCTGGGAGGTACAGGGGAGTGCCCAGGGCCCCAGAGAACAGGAATTTCTCTGTTCCATCTCCCTAAGTGCTCTGCTCATGGAAAACCCCACCCGTAAAAACCCCAGGAGGGACAGGTGAAAACACACACCCCACACACACTGGCTCCCAGTCTCTTATGCCAAGGCTGCTTTCAGAGATGCTTATAGCTCAGGATTTGTTCTGTACTACACTCAAAAACTCCCTCACTGAGGGAGTCCAGCCTCCCCTGAACACTTAGGTGTTTTTCTACCCGTTTCCCTCCTTCCCCTGCCTCCCTGACCTGCCTGGGTCCTTCTAGACACCTCTTTGGCTGGGATGCTCTGAGGACGACTCTTACCCCGTGAAGATACCCAGCTACCCGTTCTTTTTCTTTCTCCAGTAGAGTGATGATTGCCGATGCAGAGGCTGCCTCGAAGACTCCAGTGCCACAACACTACTGAAGGGCCTACCATGGAGGGTGCTGACCCTAGTGGAGGTCTGGGTGGGGCCCGTCCAGGGTTAGACAGGAGTACCCCCCTGGCCTGCACCTCTGCTGCTTCTCCGGCTTCTCCAACAACCACCATCCCCCCCCCCTTACCCCCTTTGGTGGGGGGGAAGGTTGGAATCCAGAGACATCCCGAATGGACAGGATGACCCCTTCCCCAACTCCTTGTCTGTCTTAGTCCCTTTTGTCAATGTTTGCACAGTTTTTACTCTCTTCCCCCTCCCCCCTCCTTTTGTAGTGGGATGAGTTTTAAATTATAAATTTTAACTGCCTCTGGGTGAAAAAGTTTTTTTTAAAAAAATACCTTATTACCTCTTTGCTGGACTGACCCAATGATTTATTTGGTACTTTTTAAAAATCCTGTAGGGTTTTACATTTAAATGAATATGGATTTTTAGAAATGTACTGTCGGCTGAGTCCCTGAGGGAGCTGGGACCCCCTAAGGGCCGAGGGCATAGGGTCTTATCCCCTAAACCCCCTGGGGGAAGACTCTATTCTTGTAGCTGTTTTAAAACAGAGCAAACCATGTCTAAACACTGTGGCCTGGTCTTTTTGGAATAAAGGACTGGAGTGTTTATTATCCTAATGTCTGTGTTTCTGTCTGTTCATACATCCTTGCCCTGGCTGGGAGGTGGCTAGAAACATTCTCTGTTTTGTCTGCTCTTTGTGGTTTCTTCTCCCCAATTTTTCAGCTCTGGGTAGAAGTTCCCAAGTGAGCTACGCCCCCTGCCCGATAAGGTGCCATTCTGACCTGGGTGAAAACTTTTGGAGTTTTCTGCCATTGTCTCTGGCTGTCTCTGGAGGGCCAGGAGTTGCTCTCAAGGTCTCTTCTGACCCTGTGTTCCATGACACTGAAGGCGGTACTAGGAGAACACTAATGTTTGTGAAAACGCTACCAGCTAAACTCAGATGAAATACACCTCCTGAATTTGGTCCTTGAGCGATAGGTGATAACAGGTTCCCTCCTATCAGTAGAGAGATGCGGAACCACAGGTGTGGAATGTTGAATAGGTACGTAGGTATGATATCTATGTGTCGTCAGTTTTGCTTAACTTTTTTTTTTCTTTTTTGTACAAGGGAATACCATCTATGGGGGTTGGTGGGATATCTGGAAAGAGCTAGTGTAAAAAAGAGGCATAAAAACTTCAGATATTCTATGACTAGGGCAAGTGCTAGAGAGCATAGAGTCAAGCCTTGAACTGTTGAAACTTTGGCCTGGTAAGGAGAAGGTAGTATGGAAGACAAGTCTCTTGAGAGACTCCATGGGTTTTCTCGGGCTTTTTATGTTTCTATTCAGATGTCCCACTTGACCAAGATGACCCATGAAATATTTCTTTAGCTGTAGGGCTTATGAAGCATCAGACTGTCCTTAGTAAGAAGAAGGTGGCAGGAAGAAAAAAATTTCCAATCAGTTCCATTCTGTCAAAATGTATGTCATCATGTAGGGCTGCTCCCAAGACTTTGGGAGGGAAAAATCCCCAGGAATGTGAATCCGAGTGTTGGTTTAGAAACCAGGAGACCCTAGGCAAGTTGGTTCAGCCCTTTGGGCCTCAATATTCTCATTTGTAAAATAATGGTGTTGGGCTACATTGGGCGTTCATAGATCTGGAATGGAATTCAAGCCATCGAGTCTAACCCACTCATTTTATAGATGAGGAGACTGAGGCCCAGGGAAGTTGTGACTTGCCCATTTAAACACAGGTCCTCTTACTCCAAAGTCAGTACTCTGTAGCATGCTGCCTCCCTAGATGATTACTAAGGTTTCTTCCAGCTCTAAATTTCTATACTCCTAAGTCTTTTCCCCCCCACTTCTAATTCCTAACATTCTTGACTTTGTAGATTCAGGGCTTCAAGGGTCCTTACACTCACAAGGTTCAAGCTTCTCATTTGACAGATGAGGGAACAGAGCCCTGGAATGGTCAAATAATTTACACAAGGTCATACTTGAATTCCAGGTCTCTTTCCACTACACCGTGTATTTCTAGATATAGAAACCAAGGCTAGGGTAAATTCTGACTTTTCTCTTAACTGTTGACTGACCTACGACTGTCTCATTTGGTTCCAGTGTGGAAACCTAAATTACTGGGGGACTGGCCCGAGTCAGACCTGAGCAGCCAGCCCAGAACACTAGGAGAGCAGCAAGATAAAGGTAGATACCAAGGCTCCTAGTGCTAATGGATAGTAATTTTCTACTTAGGTTGAGAGTTGTTTGGGAAGCCTTTGTGAGCTATAAAACATTATATAAAGACGTGCATTATTACAATGGGGAAGTGAATAGGAGTAGCTTTGGCCTATCTGGGACAAAACTATTATGTAAAGTATTTGGAGAAATGGGATTGGGGTAAATCCCTAAATCATCACCCTCAAGGACAGTCACTTTTGTCAAAAGGGTGAGACTTGGGGGCAGCTAGGTGGCGTAGTGGATAGAGCACCGGCCCTGGAGTCAGGAGGACCTGAGTTCAAATGTGGCCTCAGACACATAACACTTACTAGTTGTGTGACTCTGGGCAAGTCACTTAACCCCAATTGCCGCACTAAGGAAAAAAATCAATGCCTTCTTATTGTGTGTACTCTTTCACATGTGTGTATATGTGTGTATACCATGCATATCTATATGCACATATGTACAAGTTGTTTAGTTGTTTTCAGTCATATCTGACTCTTCTTTACACTTTTTTAGGGGGTGAGGGTAATGTTTCTTGCCAAAGATACTAGAGTGGTTTGCCATTTCTTTCTCAAACTCATTTTATGACTAAGTGTCTGAGGCTGGATTTGAACTTGGGTCTTCCTAATTCTAGGCCTGGTACTTTATCCACTGCCACTTACCTGCCCACATGTGTATACACACACACACACACACACACACACACACAGAAATTTGATGTCATAGCCTGTTAACCAAAGCCCCCCAGTTCCTACCTAGTACAGCCCATGTCTTTGTTGAGAACCAATAGCCGTCTCCTGGGCTAGTTTTGTGGTTCGCCATCAGTGTCAAACAATGGTGAAGGAGCCTCCGTGGTGGCACTTGGTGCCAACCTTTGTGAGGATTACTCTTTCTCCAAGGAACTTGTAATCTAAAGGGAGTCAGATGGGTATGGGAATGATTAGATTATGTTTAGCTATAAAGAAAAAGCATATATAAATATATATATATAATTATAATAATAATTTTATATGTGCATATGTACATAAAGAGAAAATGCAGAGCAGAGTGAGGAAAGATTGGATTTGAATCTTGCTTCAATAATAGTAATGATAAAAATAGACAACATTTATATAGAGCTTTAAGGTTTGGAAAACGATTTACATCTCCCTTTATCCTTACATTAACCCTGGGAGGTAAGTATTATTATTATTATTATCCCCCATCTTAAAGATGAGTAAATGAAGGCTAAGCCAACTCACCAGCATAATTCAGCTATTAAGCCCATCGCTTTATTCACTATGCCAACTAGTTGATTCTGTGGAAAGCTGAACAAGTCACTTAACTTTAAACCTATTTTCTCATCTCTTAAATGAGGATACCATCAGACAGTCCACAAGCATTTTTTAATCACCTATGTGCCAGGTACTGTTATGGGTACTATGTTATATTATATGGTGTATGTGTATATGTATATAGATAGATAGATATAGATATAGATATACACATATATATACACACATACATACCATATTATAGTATGGGTACTATAATACTACCCGTAGCACTTACCTGACAAGGCCATTGTGAGACTCACTTGAGCTAATGTATATGAAGTGCTTTGTTAACCTTAAAGCCCTATAGCTATTATTAGCATTACATGTAGTTCTCCCCTCTAAGAACTATTCTCCCCCATTTTCGTTTTCCAAAAGGGTGACTACCTCAACTTTCAAAGCATTCTCTAGATGTGCACTCCTAAAGCTATAGTCCACGAGCCCCTACCAGTGCATTTTCCTAATAATCACCCAGTAGATCGAATTATCTCTAAACAAGGACATTTACTAAGATGGCATAGCTTAAACAATAATAGTGAAACACCGCTAAGATAAACTCAGGGTGCCCTCTGTGCACACGACTCTACACAGACAATACATGGGGTCAGCGTGCAGAGGGAGCATGGAGTACACAAGAAGAGAGGCGTAGGCAACATAAGTGGCTGATGCAACTCCCACCTCTGACATCTCAGAGCCCTAGGTCCCTTTTCTTTTCATGATATCCTTGTGTTGCTGGACTTGGTGGTACTCAGCTGAGTTTTCTGGACTTATTCCTTTCTTCAGGTCAACTCCCAGTGGCCAGGACTGGATTTCTTGTTTGTTTGTTTTTGCTTTTTTTGGCTAGGCAGTGGGGTTAAGTGATTTGCCCAGGGTCACACAGCTAGTAAGTGTTATGTGTCTAAGGCCAGATTTGAACTCAGGTCCTCCTGAATCCAGGGCCGGTGCTCTATCCACTGCGCCACCTAGCTGCCCCTCAGTTATTCCATAATTAGTTCTCTTCTCAGCTGCCAATGGACACACTCCAGAGCTTCCCTGGAGTTGACTATCTCTAGATCTATTAAGCTTGCTTTTTAAAGGCCATCAGGGACATGGTTCATCTTTGGCCATCCAATGTATCCAGGCAGTGCATAGAATGCTAATCCTAGAGTCAAGAAGACCTGAGTTCAAATTCAGCCTTAAATACTTAGGAGCTGTGTGACCCTGGGCAAGTCACTGTTCACCTCGGTTTCCTAAATGTGAAATGAAGATAATACACCCACCTTGCAAGGTTTGTGTGAGGATGACATGAGACATTTGTAAAAAGCACTTAAGCACAATGCATGACTATATAAATACTTATTCCATTCCCTTTTCCCCTAGCCCCAGTGGCAAGTTGGTCTCTTGAGAATTTTGGAAATAACAAAGTGAAAACTCTTTGCACTGCCTTTAAGGCATTTTTGAGGAGGGGGAGGCAGTTGGGGTTAAGTGACTTGCCCAGACAGTGAGCATCTGAGATCAGATTTAAACTCGGGTCCTCCTGACTCCAGGCCAGTACTCTATCCACTGCACCACCCAGCTGTCCTTCCTTTAAGGCATTCTTAACATGTTGTTGTCTCTATTACCTGTCTCCTTTCTGTGATTCTGAACTGAGGGAAAAATCATTTCATCAGGGGTGTCCAAACCAACTCCTCCCCCTCCCCCCTCAACCACTATAGACACACCCCATAAGCAAAGAAATTGTAAGAACAGCACAGTGTCTATACATGAGGTGAACGTGTGTGTTGACATGGTAGGGCAGAGCAGAAGGAGCCTGGTGTATGGTGAAGAGCCAGGGAAAACACCTGGGCTTGAATTCTTCCGGCTCCAACACTAACTAGAAAGTCACTTAACCCTCTGAGACTGGGTTATAGGGCTTTCCTGGAGAAAGTGCTCATTGACTTGAAAGCACCAAATAAATGTAAATGTCTGTTGTTGGGCAGCCTGGCCTAACAATAAAGTACTGGACTTCTGTTGGGTTCGAGGCTTGGCTGCATGAGCCTCTGTAAATTTGCTGAAACTCTCAGTTCCCTAAGGTGACCTCCCTAAGACTATCTTCATTGATGGAGGGAGTTTCTTTACCCCAGGTTCTAT